GTCAGCTCAACTCGCTGACGAGAAAAGAGTGCTTTATCGCGCTTTCGAGGGCCTTTTATACCGTTGGTTTGTGGGCGCGGGAGTGAGTACGGTGCTGGGTGAGACGGCGCGAGGTGGGGCGTAACGATTCGCTTATTGTTAACGGCTCATGGCCCGGTGACTCGTTACAACTCTAATGGGTTTTCAAGTGTTTATAACATGAAATTTAAGGCAAACTGTGACTCTAGATGGGATATTTATACATATATATTTAACCCGGGTTAACTGTTCTGTAAAGCAGATAATTTTCCATCATTTGTAAGTCCATACGCCCACAAGAATATTGTGCTTTACAGAAATACGCAAACCCGATACAAAATGTGTCCGATCGGGCCTGTGTCCGGTCGAGTCCGTGTCCGATCGGGCCTGTGTCCGAACGAGCCTGTGTCCGATCGGGAAATATTGCCGTGTCCGATCGGTTATGTGCGCAATCGGGACAATCCCAATGCAGTGTCCAATCTTGCAATGCTTGTGTTCAATAATGCGGTGTCCAATAATGCGGTGTCCAATAATGCGGTGTCCAATAATGCTTGTGTCCGATAATGCGGTGTCCAATAATGCTTGTGTCCAATAATGCGGTGTCCAATGATTTCGGTATCCAATAATGCGTGTCCAATAGTGCGTGTCCAATCGAGCGGTGTCCAATCGTTACGTGTCCAATAGAAGGTCACCCGGGCGCGAACAGCCTCCCGCGGGGAGGCTAGAGAGACCGACGGAACGCGAGTTCGCCTCGGCGGAGGCCCCTTGCCGGTTCTTTTCTCTTCAGTTCTGTATCCGACCTATTAAATCGTTTATTACACTCTCTTAACCCGAGTCCCGATTATTTTAGAGTATTCGTCTGCGTGTGTGTGTGTCGCGCCCCGTCCCGCCGTCCCGTTCCCGCGTGCCCGTAATTACGGGACCCCGCCACTCTGCTGACGGTAGAGAGCAGCCGGCCCCTGTTGCGTCGAGGAGGCTAAATAGCGGCGTTAACCGAGCGGATCGGCACCGTTTCCATCCGGGGAGCTGGTGTGTTTCGCGACAAGTAATTGACGCCGCCCGCGAGCGCGTTTGGCGCCCAACTTGGCCGTTGTAGCGCCCGTTCCGGAGATTCGCCCGGAACGGCGACGGCCGCGTATCGTTCGCGTAAGCCGCCTCTTTCTTCGTCGCGCCCGGCGAATAGAGTAGAAAAGTGCGTGACAAGAATTTGGCGCCCAACGTGGGGCCCACGTAAATTTAACTGCGATATCGGCCCGTGACTTTCGCGTGAACGGATGACGACGGGACGTGAGAGCATGTTGCATGGGTGAAGGGAATAGTTGGATAGTAGAAAGGGGCCGTCAAATTGACGGTATCTGATTTGAAATCGGGTGAGCCGGCTTCCAACGGCGTCCTCGGAATTTCGAACCGAGCGACCGCCGTTTATGTGTCGGGTGGGCAAAACAAACTGTGACCTCGCGATCACGCGTGTGTACCCTGCGCGCACCGGGATTGTGTCGATCCGGATGACGGTCACCAGCCCAAAATAGACCGCGTGCCGGTGGAAATTCCCCCGCGTGCCGCGACGGACAAAGCGGATGAGCAGCCCCGGATCGGACGACGAGTGGGTTTTCGCGGCCGACCGGGAACAACTCCAGGAAGAATCGAGGAAGCGCAGCCTATCGGTGGACGGGTCAGACTCGGTTCTCGCGTTACGGCTCCTGCGTAGGGTGAGGGCGGGACGTACAGCGTAACGCGCGGAGGAGAATCCGAGCGGTATGTCAACCACCGGGCGTCTCGAGCTCCCCACGGACGGGGTGCCGCGACCCGATAGCCCGGCGGGGAATACGGATCCCCCGGGGCAGACGGAGTTTCCGCTGTACACTCCGGAGCCGGTCACCCCTGCCTCCGCCCGACATAGTTCCGTGAACGACGCATACAATACGATACGGAAGTGGAATCTCCACTTTTCGGGAGCGCGCGGGGAGGACGGGGAAACCTTCTTGTTGCGCATCGAGGAGGGCCGCGGTATCATTCCCGTCTCCGACGCAGACATGTTTCAATGCCTGCCGTTCTTTTTGACGGGTACGGCGCTTAGCTGGTACCGGACCAAGCGCGATCGCTTCAATACGTGGCTCGCCTTCAAAGCGGCGTGGCGGACGCGCTTCGGAAACCCGGACTTTCAGTTCGCGTTACGGGACGAGATAATGAGGCACACGCAGGGCGAGAGCGAGCCCGTCGCCGATTACTTTACGTGCATGAACACGCTTTTTAATCGGCTGTCCCCGCCTTGGAGCGAGGAAGAGAAGGCGGGGTACGCGCTGCGCCACATGCTATTACGCCTGCAAGATCGCGTAAGCCGCGAAAACGCGACCGACCTCGACACGCTGGAACTCCTAGCCGTGCGGGCCGAAAGCCGGTATAACGCGGCGCTGAGCTATCGTCCGCCACCGCTGCCGGAAAAATCTCTCTTCCCCGATCTCGCGTATAGACCGCCGAAGGGGCGCTCGGGGGGAGGGGCCGGGACCGTGGCCGCGTTGCAGGTGTCGGGCGCGAACGAACCGGGCGCAGGTGGCCCCGCGCGAGGCGGCAAGGGGAAGGGAAGGGGGCCCCGCGAGGCGAGCGCCGGGACGCCCGCGATTGCCGCCGCGGACGCCGCGACCGGGGGCGCGGGGGGCGCGCGCGCTAAGGCACGAAAGTGCTGGAACTGCGACGCGGAGGGGCACTTCGTCCGCGATTGCCCCGAGGAGGAGCGGATACATTGCTACCGGTGCGGCCGCGTCGACGTAACTGTAAATATAAATCTAGGATTTTGTCAGGATAGGCAAAAGAGGAGGCGGGGAACCACTGATTTTAACACATAATTACTAAGCACTTAACTATATTTAGAATATGTGTATAAAAGTAACAAACAGTTAATTATAATTAGTCGCAATAAATCGCACTACTCTGAACTATCGACAAGAACTCCGTTATAAACGTATATCTTTCGCACGTACTGCTCGCAGGACCGACCGGCGCGTGTCCCTTCTCGAAGGCGAGTGTCTTTTCGAAACGGTCACGCACTGGCCGTTTCCTTGTCTTTTTCCCCTTATTATTATTAAATTTACCCTTGTGTTTCCGCGCTCGTGATTTGGCATTTTCGGTCGCGGCTTGCTCGTGCAGCCCGGTCGCGCGGCTCGCTAGCGCGCGGCTCGTTGGTCGCGCAGGCGCGTTGGCGCTCAGGCGCCTCGGCTCTTACAACTCGGCCGTTCTGACACTCAACTTCGTTCCGAAGTTGTGTCTTCCTTGCTTTGTCGTTTACAAAGTGTGGGTTTCTGGTTGAGCACCCTCGCGTCAGCTGTTCCAATACAACTGGCGCGGAGAAGCTCAACGTTTCCCCTTTTTTTCGTCGGTGCATATAAGGTAAGTGATTACTTCGTTTATGGTGTCACCTAACTTTCATTATTTTAGCAATTATCGCTGGGTATCGTGCAGTTATTTTTACATGTACTTAACCTAATATTTTCTTACTCTAATACATTAATACGCTGGTACATTTATTACGCATGCTTTTTTTTCAGCTTACATCATGATTTATGCTCGCGGATGGAGCTATTGTACGTGGATCCAGGGCTTGATTCTGTCAGACGACACGATTGTGTCCATCGGTCGTGATGTCAAGCTGCATCCAGGTACGTCTTTAATTACGTATCGATTATTACCTAGACTTTTGTGTATTACTATGGTCCCTTGTAGGCTGCCTTTAACTTAGCGTTTTCACCGGGCTTTACCCTTTTATCTCGCAACACGATTAGATTACCTTCTTTATACATTGATGGCTTTTTCCATTTCCCTTCGCGATACTTTTTATTGTAGTCTCTAATCGATTTCGTAACTTCTAGCGCTGTATCCCGTAATTGACTTCTTTCTGTTTCTAGGTCCGTATCAATACCGGCAAGGGAAGAAACGAATTCTGAAAACGCCCGATCTACGTGATTTCTTTTATCGTATCCCAACAAGAGTTTTGAAGGACTGGCCTTTATGGACGAATGGTGCGCATTATTAATGATATACTGTATTTTCTCTATGTGATTTTTCCACTCGTTTGTCTCGCTCAAAAATTTTGTTAGGGAGCTCTTAAGGAAGCGATTCACCCGTTCGACTATTCCGTTGGCCCATGGTGCGGCCACAGCTACCAATCTATGTTCGATATTCCGCTCGCTTGCAAATTTAATAAATTCGGATGAGGTAAACGCGGTTCCTCTGTCAGACACCAAATTAGAAGGGTTTCCGAATGCTGCAAAAACCGTTTTCAATGCGTTTATCGTTTCTTTTGAGCTCGTCGTTTTTACTGGAAATAGCCATGTAAATCGTGTAAAGGCATCTACTATGACTAATATGTGTTTGTATTGGTCCACAGTTTCCTGTAACGGACCGAAGTGATCTACGTGCATCTCTTCTAACGGCGCTGAAGGGGGCGGATACGAACAGATTTCTCCTTCCTTCCTGTTCGAGGATTCGTTCGACATAATACAAGTAAGGCAGTTGTCTATATATTCTATAACTCTTTTACGAAGCGATGGAAACCAATAAGATTTTTCGAAACCTTTCAATGTTTTATCGGCGCCACAGTGTGCCATATCGTCGTGGTAGGCCTTTAAAATACTTGGCACCATTGATTCTGGTATCACGAATCTCAATTGGTTTTCATCTTTTCTGTACACTAACCCATCTTTTAGCTCAAACCGTTCGTTTTCTTCAAATTCTAGTTTCTTACTAATTTCTAATATTTTCGGGTCGGTTAACTGCCTAATTTCGAGCTCTTGTTCGAGGGGCAACTCTCTCACGTACGCTGCTGCCCTACTGAGTGCGTCTACGTGCGCCATGCGGTTACCCGGTCAATGCAAGAGCTTGAAGTTATAGTTCTGTAGCGCGAGCGTCCACCTGGCAATTCGCGGATTCAGGTTCGTCTTGTTGACTGCGTACACCACGGCGTTGCAGTCTGTGAAAATCGTGAAATTTTACCCGTACAGGTACAGGTGGAATCTTTCTATGGACTTAACGATCGCTAACATCTCTAGCTCATACGAGTGGTATTTGCTTTCAGCTTCGTTCGTGCTCTTGCTGAAGTACGCGACTGGCGCCCATGGCTGATTCCCTCGCCGCTGCAAGAGAATCGCCCCGTAGCCTGCACTGCTAGCGTCGGTGTGCAGTTCGGTCTCTGCCGCGGGATCGTATAATTTCAGTACTGGTGCCGAGGTAAGTTCCTTTTTTAAAGTTTCGAATGCTCTCTCACATTCTATATCGAATTTGTAATCGACCGTCTTTTTTAACAAGTTCTGTAGCGGTTTAGCTTTTATCGTGTAATCTTTTATGAACCGTCTAAAATAATTAGTCAAACCCAAGAACCGCTGTACTTCGTGTACATTTTTCGGCTTTTTAAATTTTTCTACCGCCTCCGTGTGTCTAGAGCAGGGTGATCGCGTTCTCTGAGACGACGTATCCGAGGAATTCTATCTTTTTCTTTAAGAATTTACTTTTCACGTAATTTATCTCGAAACCATACATCTTAAAAATAGTTAGAACTTCCTCGATCGCGTTTAAATTTTCCTCAATCGTTTTCGTATTAAAATGTCGTCTATATATACAATTACCTTATCTTGTCTAATCAGAGGTGTTAATATTTGCACTATTCTTTTTTGAAACTCCGCCGGGGCGGAGATATTTGCACTATTCTTTTTTGAAACCGCCTCACAATACCCGAAAGGAAGTCTCTTACATTCGAATTGCCCGTCCGGCGTCGCAAATGAAAAATATTTTGTACTGTCCTCTGTTACCTTTATTTGATGGAAACCGTCTTTCATATCTAACAGGGTAAAATATCTTTTATTGCTTATTTTCGACAAGCAGTCCTCGATAATCGGGAAAGGGTATTTCTGTTTCTCGACTCTCGAATTTAGTGGCCTCAGATCAACGCATAGCCTGGTTTGCCCTGTTTTTTTTATCACTGGTACTACCCTCGCACAGTACGGAGATATACTAGGCTGTATTATGTCCCGTCGCAACAGATCGTCGGTGATCTTCCTTATTTCTAATTTCTCCGCCAGCGCGAATCTTCGCGGTGTGTACACGTATACCGAATCGTCCTTTATGTTAACTTTTACCGCATAACCGTCCTCAACCTGTTCTAATTGTTTTCTTTGTGTTTCAAGGATAAGGAGTTTCAATCGTTTCTCTGTCTCCGGATCGGCATCGGTTTCAATATTTTCCAACGCGATCTGTCTTTCGTTGTTTGTCCGTCTTTCGTCTATATAGCACGGAAGACAGGCAAACAAGTTCACCGTCTCTTTGTCACCTTGACCCGGCGGCGAATACACCAATGTGAGTGTTTCGCTCGCCAGAAATTCTCTTCCCAATATCAAATCGGATTCTAACGGGTCACCTTTCAGAATGTAGACATTAGTTTGAAACTTCCTATCCTTTACTGTTTCTAACCGAAAATCAATTTTTATCATCCCTAATACTTCTAACGGACAATTACTTAAATTTATCATATTTTTATCCGATGATTTTACCGTGCTCGTGAATGTCTCTTTGTATTGTCGGTATGTATTGTATTTGATGAAAGACACCGGACTTCCCGTCTATTAGAGCCAATAGATTACATTGCTCACCATTGATATCGCTAATTTTTATGTATGGGTTTTCCAGCTCCAGTCTGGTACCTGTGCTCTGGACCATCACCACTGACTCTCCTTCCGCCGGGTTGGCTGCGACCGTGGCTGCTACCTTAGCGGTCGACGTCTTCGTTGCTGTTCCGTGGTTCGTGTCCTTGGATTTCAGCTTCGGGCAGTCGAAACTGCGATGTCCCGGCGCTTTGCAATAAAAGCAAATGATTTCGGACTTACAGTCTTTTGCTCCGTGACCCTTTTTCCCGCAATTCCTGCAAGTACCGTCTTTTGGCTTTGTTTTTGCCGCTCCATTTGCCAGGTTCTTCCTGTCCCAGTCTGTTGCTCCGTCTGTGATACGTCTCATGACTTCCAAGAACTCCTCCATCGTCTTCGAGTTTAGTGATAGTGCCGTCGCTCTCAGCGACACTTGCTGTATGCCTCCGATGATCAATTGGATTGCATCTGGTGCCGGAATGTTCAACCGTTGGATCAAGGTCCATTTTTCGATGGCGTACTCGTCGAAGGATTCTTTGTGGATCATCCATTTGCGCGCCTCTACCTTCTGCATTAACTTATGGTACGGTATCTTATGATCGAAAAATTTCTTCAACTCTTGTTTTAGATCTGTCCATGACTCTAATGTCGTTCCTGTTTGTAGGTCGTACCATTTTTTGCTGCTTTCGTAAAGCGACTCGATGCTGCCAAGAGTGTCGCCCCTTCTGTTGACCTGTGGATCTCGGCCACCTTGTCCACTCTCCTGATCCAGGCTCCTACGTTGTCGTCTTCGGATCCTGCAAATTCCGGGATTTGTGTGGCCAAATGTGTGACGTTATTATTTGTGACCTGCCCCTCGGCCATCCTGTTACGCGTCGATGACCCCGTCGAGCTGGTCGATTCTTCTGAATTTTGTCGGGCATTTCGTATCTGATTTGTTTCCTCGTTTCCTTGCACTTGGTTCGTCATACTTTGTATGAGCAAGTTGAATTGTTGCTGCTGCTCCATGATTGTCCGCTGCTGTAGCTCGTGAGCTCTTCTTTGTTGCTCCATGAGCTCTTGCATTGACTCCATCATGCGAATCATCATGGTTTCCGTTTTATTCTGATCGGTTTCTCCGACCTTCCGTCCTTTATCTGTCGTCTTGGCTGATGTTCCTTTTTCGCGGTCCTCGGCTGTCCCGCTTTTCTCATGGTGTCATCAGTCTTTCTATGAGAGCCTCTTTTCCTCTTGTAATTGTCAGGAGATTTTTCCTGGCTTCCTCTTGGAGCTGCTCCACATTTAGCTCCTCTAGCCTGGAGCGTTCCATGTTCAACTGGGCCCGCGTAAGTACCATACGCCCTTGGGGCTCGTTCGAACTCAACGGTTTTGTTTCGCGAATGTCTTTGTCTCCTCTCGAAGACTCGTAACCCGGGGTTTTCGCGATTTCGCGGCGATCTCTAATCTGTTCGTTATCTGCTAAGCTTCGCGGTCAATCCCACTTCTGATTTTTGTTGTAAATATAAATCTAGGATTTTGTCAGGATAGGCAAAAGAGGAGGAGGGGAACCACTGATTTTAACACATAATTACTAAGCACTTAACTATATTTAGAATATGTGTATAAAAGTAACAAACAGTTAATTATAATTAATCGCAATAAATCGCACTACTCTGAACTATCGACAAGAACTCCGTTATAAACGTATATCTTTCGCACGTACTGCTCGCAGGACCGACCGGCGCGTGTCCCTTCTCGAAGGCGAGTGTCTTTTCGAAACGGTCACGCACCGGCCGTTTCCTTGTCTTTTCCCCCTTATTATTATTAAATTTACCCTTGTGTTTCCGCGCCCGTGATTTGGCATTTTCGGTCGCGGCTTGCTCGTGCGGCCCGGTCGCGTGGCTCGCTAGCGCGCGGCTCGTTGGTCGCGCAGGCGCGTTGGCGCTCAGGCGCCTCGGCTCTTACATAACCGTTCGAACCTGCCCCAAGTGCGCGGGAAACGAGTGAGGGAGTCGAGAGCCGGGGGCACGTCGACTCCTTCGCTTCCCGCCCCCGCCGGTCCCTCCCCGCGAGGGGAGGCCCCGGAAACGACACCGGCGGTCGTGTATAGCGCCTTCGGCGCAAAGGGCCCGACGCCGCTCGCGTTTCTCCGGATAGATCTCGCCGGAAGGGAGGTGCGCGGGTTAGTGGACTCCGGATCGAGTCGCACGTTCGTCGGTCTCGAAATAATTGGATGGCTCCGAGCGGCGGGATGGAGCTTCGCCCCGACCACGGGGCAACGAGTGACCACCGCGACCAGCCAAACCACCCGGGTGAGGGGGGAGGTAAAGGAGCCCGTGACGGTAGAAGGGCGCACTCGAGGGATGCGCGTGCACGCTCTGCCCACGTTGGCGTTGCTGTGCATCCTCGGGGTGGATTTTTTGAGGGCCTTTGGCCTGGCCGTCGACTACGCCTCGGGCACGTGGCGGTTCGCGGATGAGCCCACGGGCGGGTGGCCCTTCGAGAGCGCCGCCATCGGGTGGCGAGCGTAGTGCCGACGCCGCCGGGGGACGAGGGGGAGGCCGCGCCGGAAGACGGGACGAGTGTCGCGGCCGCGGACGCGAGCGGTCACGCCGAAACAGCAACGCGGGGGGAAGAGGCGCGATACGGTACGAGGGAGGCTCCACTCACGTGCGTCGGGCTATGCACGCTCTCGGCGGAGGAACAGGCCCGTCTGTCGGGACTCCTGAAGCGCGAGATCGAGGGGGACCCCCAGCGCCCTGGGGCTACGACGCTCGCGGAACACCGAATTGACGTAGGGAATCACGCGCCAATAAAGCAACGGTATTATCCGGTATCGCCCAAGATCCGCGAGGCCATTTACGAGGAGGTCGACAAGATGTTGGAAGCCGGGATAATCGAACCGTCGCGAAGTGCGTGGTCAACCCCGATTGTTATGATCAAGAAACCGAACGGCACGTATCGGTTCTGTTTGGATTTTCGCCGCCTAAATAGCGTGTCGAAGAAGGATGCGTATCCGTTGCCGTATATGAACGCGATTCTCGACAAACTACGGTCGGCCCGATACATCTCGACTATTGACTTAAGTCAAGCGTATTTTCAAATTCCATTAGAACGGAACAGTCGCGAGCTAACCGCGTTTACCGTGCCGGGGAAGGGGCTCTTCCATTTCACGCGGATGCCGTACGGGCTGACCGGAGCGCCCGGCACCTTCCAGCGTTTGCTCGACCGACTGATAGGGCCCGAAATGGAGCCGCACGCGTTTGCCTATCTGGACGACATCGTGATCGTCACGAAAACCTTTGACGAGCACCTGGTCTGGCTGCGCCGAGTATTTAGTCGCATCCGCGAGGCCGGCCTCACGATTAACCTGGATAAAAGCAAATTCTGCCGGTCGCAGGTGAAGTATCTCGGGTTTCTCGTGCAACACGACGGTCTACGGGTTGACCCGGAGAAAACGGTCGCTATCGTAGAATATCCGGCCCCGCGTAACGTCAAACAATTACGACGGTTTATCGGAATGGCCTCGTGGTATCGACGGTTCATACCTG